GTTGAACAAAGTGTACCACAACTACAACATTTGCAACTCAGAAGTTGTTGCCTTCCCTTAACTATTTTGACAAATTCTATAGCACTCTTCCCCACACAGCTGTTATAATGGTAAAGCAAAAGGATCATTATTTTCTATTTCATTACAGTACATTTGGTTCCTGCCACCTTTGTGTCAGAAACACTAAACCATTTGAGTGACGCCTGCACGCTTATGCATGCTTTGAACCAGGCGCGCCGGATTCATTTTAGAAGTGGGGGGGCCAAAAAAAGTGCGTATGGCCCAATCCCAAACCACGCCCTATACCTACACACTCCCCCTCCGTGACGGAGTGAACTCCGTGGAGTGACACATGAGGCTCCCTCCTGTCAGATGGAGGGAGTAAATACAGCAGCAAGCTTTGGGACGGCCTCCCCTCTCTCCGGCAGAAACAGGAAATGCCGTAACTGTATGTAACAACGGTTTCAAATCAGCATCTCTTTGACAAAAAATGTAAATGAATAACTCAAATAAAACTCCAAACATCTTTAATTGTGTTACTTTTTTGTAAAGCTCTTTTAGTTTTAAACCTGATGTTTATAAGCTTCTTAGTTTTTGCAACAGTCTGTAAATATACACAACTTTATAATAAAATGCACACATTTACCTTTTTCTAGACTAAACACAGGTATGATCCTAAGTTAAAAAAATATGTGGTTATCATGAGGTTGTTAACATCGTAATTTATCACTATCGTTTAGTGGTTTTTCAAAGAATTAACCACTCTCTGTTTTTGTACCATTCTGCGTTGAAGTACCTTCTCTTTGCCCAAATAATCTACTAGCGGTCTCCTTTTTTCCGATAGTTAGCTGTACAGCTTTACCCGCCTCAATGTCCCGACAACAAACCTCCATGCAGTCGGAACCAGCCTGTTTCGGTTCAACGACGACGGCGGCGGTGGGGGCGGTGGCGGTTTTGACAGTTTCTGCGGCCGCAGAGGTGCTGCTTTTGGGTTCATCTGGCTTCGCTGTTTCTATGATTGATGAAGGTCCAGGCTCCGGAGATGTGGATGTCAGGGATGTGACCTTCCAGTTGTTAAATTTAAGTTTAGATTGACTGTATTTAGTTTTCTTCTGCGCTGGTTCTTCTGACATGTTTGCAAGTGTATATATTATTTCTAGGTTAACGGCTGACACACACAGAACAACGTAACAAATAAAGTAAACAACGTAACAAATAAACAAATCTAAGCTTTTTTATTGGTTGTAATTTACATGGATACATTTAAATGGTGTGACAATGTCCTATTTGATTGGGTTAAAATGTACATATTCTTCCTGTTATGTCTGCCTGCTTTATTTTACCTAATGCAAAGTGACGAAATCAGTCGCATTGACCCGAAGACACATTTTGATTCCTAGCTTTCTAATGATATCAGGATTGTTTTTGTACTCCAAATATTAAGCAAAATATGTCACATTATATAATGACTGTTACAGAGTCATCATTTTGAGAAAAAGGCCTTTAAAGTTTTCGCTTCTCTGGAATCCATCGATCTGATTGATTATTAGCGGAGCAAATTATCAAAATACTACGGAGGGAAGATATTTTCGTTTGGATTACTGCACTCACGAGAAACACCGGCTGTTGTTATGCCTGCTGTGACGTTAAGCTACTCCGTTCTCCGCTTGTAATTATGCCGTCACAAGCTTCAAAGTTGTAGGCCTATTTATCATCTGAATTTGCCGAAACAAGTTTAATATTCTGAAAGCCAAGACTTTGCTTATTTGAAATCAGATAAAAACAAACTGTAACGGACCCTGCCGTGTTATCTATGATTACTATACACCTTACATTCATAATTTCAGCGGGAGGGAGGGGGGGCGGCGCTGAGGAACAGCAGAGTGGCGAGAGCTGTCATCTTCCCTTTACAAGCTTCAAACATGCCTGTAGCTAGTGAGATTGAATATAACAATTAAAAATAACAAAATATACACAGCTAAATCAGATCACGTTTTAGATGCGACTTTAGAGTAGAGGGGAATTATTGAAACGGGATTTGTACAGTTTTCCGCGGCACAGTTTCATGGAAACACATCAGCTTTTGGACGACAATCAATATGGATTCAGGAAAGATAGATCAACATCTATGGCACTAATGGAATTAAGTGAGGAAATAGCAAACTGCATGGACAATAAAAAACAAGCAGTGGGAATATTTATAGACTTACAAAAAGCATTTAACACCATAGATCACAATATTTTACTGATAAAACTGGAACGGTATGGCATCAGAGGGGTGGGATTAAACTGGGTGAGAGATTATTTAAGCAACAGACAACAATTTGTTGAAATTGGTGAACATAAATCAGAATACATTAACATAACTTGTGGAGTACCTCAGGGGTCCGTGTTGGGTCCAAAGCTGTTCATAATATACATCAACGACATTTGCAGAGTATCAAATATATTGCAATTTATTTTATTTGCAGATGACACTAATATTTTTTGTTACGGTGACAATTTGAAAGAGCTAATGGAAGTGATAACAGCAGAAATGATTGAAGTAAAACATTGGTTTGACACAAACAAATTATCATTAAATATAAGCAAAACAAAGATTATGTTATTTGGAAAACATAAAACAAATCCACAGATACAATTAATACTAGATAACATACACATAGAAAGAGTATATGAAATTAAGTTCCTTGGTGTGGTTTTAGACCACAAAATCAGCTGGAAACCTCATATCACTCATGTAAAAGCAAAACTGGCTAAAACTATCGCAATATTGGGAAAAGCCAGATACATTCTGGACTATAACTCATTGTATACTCCATATCAGTGGTTCTCAAATGGGGGTACGCGGACCCCTAGGGGTACGTTGGAGTACTGCAGGGGGTACGTGAGATTTATTTTATGTTAATGAAAAAAAAAGAAAAAAAAAGATAAAAATACCAATTTTAGGAAAAGTAAGGAAGTTTGAGTGTGGGTGTAACAGAGTTACATATTTCAAAACACGAAGTGTAATAACTGCAGTGGCCTCCCTGTCAGAATAACAAAGATCCTCAGTGAAGCACAAGCCCATGTTTCTCTCTACATTGTAAGTACAACTTATTAAAAAGATCAGTTCAATGCAACTAATGTCGTCTCGGTGTTATTGCATGATGTTAAAATTGGTTTGCCATGAATTTAGTGATGGTTTGTAAACATTTGAAATGTAGCATTTAAGTGTTTCTCGGTTACAATGTTGTTGTTTTAATAAATCAGACACTGATGGTGCAGCACTGTACTGTACCTCTTTATATAGGCATTTCTTCCCTAACAAATAGTTTTTGCGCTGATCAGGGGGTACTTGGCTGCATTTTTTTTTCAAAGGGGGTACATGATTGAAAAAAGTTTGAGAATCACTGATCTATATAACACACTAATATTGCCATATCTGATTTACTGTGTGGAGATTTGGGGAAACACGTACAAAACCAACCTACAGCCGTTATGCACATTACAGAAAAGGGCTATAAGAGTTATCAATATCTTGAACACACTAATGTATTATTTTTGAAGTCACACATATTGAAGTTCATTGATCTGGTTAAATTTAAAACGGCACAAATCATGTACAGAGCAAGACATAATCTACTTCCTAGGAAATTAAAAACATTGTTCGTAGACAGAGAGGGTGGGTATAATTTGAGAGGAAATCTACATTTGAAACAACTCAAGGTCAGAACAACTCTGAGAAGTATGAGTATAACAATCTGTGGGGTGATTTTATGGAATGGTTTGGAGCAGGAGTTCAAACAAAGCACAAGCATAATTCAGTTTAAAAGGATGTACAGAAACACTTTTTTGGAAAAATATGAGAATGAAGAAAGGTGATTGAAGATGAGAAATTATTGTATATGTATGTATTAATGTAAATCTAAGTAGGAATAACTTGCATAATGATTTAAAGGACAATCATTGATCAAGTAAGGGGTGGGAATTAATAAGCATTTGCTTCCTCCTACTCCCTTTCGGACACATATGATTTATTATTATTATGAAGACTTTTTTTGTTTTTTTTGTTGAATATACAAATATTACCATGAATGTGGATAAATACTGTATTTTAACAATACGGTATTCTGTTTTTCACATTTGTTATTTTGTATTTGTTATTTTTTAATCTGTTCGAAATAAAGACTGAAAAAAAAAAAAAAATCCGCTGCTGCGAAAATGTGGGGCAGGGCTGAAAAGTGGGGGGACCAATGGCCCCCCCGCTTCCGGCGCCCTTGCTTTGAACCCAACTCCCTTCACAAAATGTTAAGAATGCAGATCAATGGCTCCAGGGTCACTTTCATTGAAGCATGGACACACATTCATTCACAATTGCTGGTTTTGTATGTTTTAAAATACACAAGTAGTTTGGTTGGCCTCAAGTGTGTAGTCTGACAACAATTACAGGCACATGATCTGAACTGAGCACCTTAAAATACATAGTAGTGTGTCATTACAGTAATGCAGGCCTATTCAAATGGCGGCCCGCGGGCCAGATGCGGCCCAGAACCAACTCCCGATTGGCCCAGCCTCCCGTGGCCAAATTCCTACACTAGTACAGACCATGAACGCAACACTCCGCATTGCATAGAAACCACCAAACCACAAAATACTGTGGTGTCTTGCACTTCAGGGCCACCGTAGATCTCACTAGCACTGAGCTAGCTATCCATCCAGTTAAACCGGTTGAAAGAAAACTCCAGCGCAGTTGTCAGTTTTACTGAAGTCTCTTTACTTGGTGAAACTGTAAAGACAATACAGACATAACAGTTTATTATTGACTGCCCGACTGACGAGCTAAACTAAACAGAATACTAAGTTCACACAATGAGCTACGGCGCACAAACTGAGAAGCTAATCAGCCTAGCCGCTAGTAGCTTAGTCGCAAGGAATACTCACTGCATTCCTACAAACATAAACATTTTACATACAACATATTCCCATTAAGCCACAGCCTGTCGGATAATAACACTCACAGACGATGCGTGAACCAGCGGGAAATACGAAGCACAGCCCATGGAGAGCAGACGTCCGTTCATGAAAACAACCCAAGCTACACGTGGAGCACACTCGGAAACAAACAAGTTCGTTCTCCTAGTAAGTAACAGGAATCAAATAAACCACTAGTAAGCAGCAGTGTCAACCAACCACCACAAGGTGGTGCCAAAACACAGCCAAGAAACACATACATGACAGATATACACCAAAAACACATATCAAGGACAGAACACATTGTAAAGAAGTAGTGACTGCTTTCTTGTATCAAAGCAATGTCCAGTCACAATGTAGTTCAAATCATTCTCTGTTGTGTTGGCTGTGCAAAGGGTTCTGAACAAGTTGACATTATAAAAAAAAAAGACACATTTGTGAAATAAACTGTAAGGCATCATGGGAAAAAATAGCCCTTTCTTGACTTGTATTGGCTTTTACTAAATTAATGAATACATACTTAAATAAATAAATAAACTTCACAGACAATAGTGATACATATTGTTATTCTACCTGTTAGTTTTTGTTTTAAGTCGTTGTGAAATTATTGACTGGAGACACATGTGTTTCAGTTGCACTGTGCATTTTAGTGCTGAGCTGCATACTGTATAGGTGAAGAGACTCAGTATTGAAAAATATGGGTTAGAAGTTGTAAACAAAATGTAAAGGTTGTGGTTTTAGCAACAACTACCCAACTAGAAATCTTTTTTTTCAAGGAGTAGGTACATGTGCAATGGTAAGGTACTTTTTTGATCTTGTAATACAATGATGATTAACACTCATGGAAAAGAAAGTTTGGGGCTCTCTGCTGGAACTGCTACCCCCGCGACCCGACCACGGATAAGCGGGAGAAGATGGATGGATGGAGTAACACTACCAAGTTGGTAGGGAAATGGCAAAGACATAACTTGGAATACAATCCCTGCTGTGAAGCTGTGCTTTATTCTCAAATAAAGCCAAAGTTCAACTCTTCCCTGTCTCACATGGGGACATTGGGTCTTCACAAAAAGGTTGACATTAATTGGCACGAGTTAAGAACTGAGATACCTTGCAGAGTGACCAATGGAACTTGGAGCATGGTAATAATGGCCTGTACCCCCCCACCAAACCACTCTGTAATGTTCAACCTGTGCACTACACACACAAACAAACACACTAACTGCACACACACACAATGAGATGTACCCTCATGAAAAATTCATTATAATTTGTGGAAGACACCCATAAAATATCCATTGAGTCTCAGCAACACATCCGAATGTGTTCACAGGACTGACAGGAGTAATCCCAAGAGCTGTGTGTGTGTGTGTGTGTGTGTGTGTGTGTGTGTGTGTGTGTGTGTGTGTGTGTGTGTGTGTGTGTGTGTGTGTGTGTGTGTGTGTGTGTGTGTGTGTGTGTGTGTGTGTGTGTGTGTGTGTGTGGGGGGTCTAGCATTACTATACTTGTGGGGACCTAAATCTGTTTACATAGTCACGTGTGGGGACTGGCTTCCCTTATGGGGACAGATTGGAGGTCCCCATGAGGGGAATCATTCATTTTAGGGTGAAGACTTGGTTAGGTTTAGGATTAGGGTTAGGGTAAGGGTAAGGGTTAGGGTTAGGCATGTGTTGGTTATGGTTAAGGTTAGGATAAGTCTTCAGGAAATGCATGTAAGTCAATGTAATGTCCCCTGAAGTGATGTATACATGGTATATGTGTGTGTGTGTGTGTGTGTCTGTGTATCTGTGTGTGTTGTTCCTTGTTTTTGTATTTATGAGAATAAGATGTTTCTGTGTTTGCTGACATTTAGTGTACTCCTGTGTGTTCTCTCTTTGTTTGTGTGCCTTTATACGTTCACATGTGTACTGTAGCTTATATAAAAAAACATGTTAATCGGTTATGACAAGATCAAGGTTGTACATATACATGTTCACGTTACTTTATGTCATTGTTAATGTGTGTGTATGGCTATTAAAGTGTTTGTGTGTTTGAGTGAATAATGTCAACCTTCCACCACACTTTGGAGACCGACGTCATCACCGACCTTTCCTGCTATCTTTACTTTTGGCAGATGATGAGGTTTTATTGCCAGGCAACGAGAACAGCTTCCCCCCAAAAACAGATGACTCTGAAGAGGTTCAACTGTTCGGAGGAAAGAAAGTCCTCCATATCAAGCTAACTTTGTTGTCATTTGAGTTCAAAGTAAAAAACAGAACTATACAGTATTATTTGGTTTCATACCCTCCAGTTTTACATTTATTCTACAGAATGCTGCTCTGTCTTTGTCCATGACCTTATATCGAGGAAGCTAATCAAATCTTGCATTAAGCAGGAGGCAGAGACTTTGTGCAACAATCATGTTTTTTTGCTAAAGTCTCCATCCTATCTAACTCAAAGATCAAAGTTTGGAGCGACCAAACAAACATACAGGGGAAGAGTGCACTGCTCGGACAAGAGTTTCCTCGTAGCTCCTGTTGTCATTGACGTACTTTCGTTAATGAATCAGTAAAGGAAAACATCAGCTGTCGGCTTTGGTAACCGCCAGCACCATAAGCTCCACAGGTCCATATCTTTTTTGCATATCCAAGACAAAAGTTAATGTTCATAAATGTATATACTGTATACACACCATTGACTATTAGTTCTATGAAAAACAATGTTAGCTAGCGTAGCCTAATTGATCTGATTTCCATTCAGAAAACAGGCGTTTAAAAAGATATTCTATGGATTATATCACTTTTTACGACTAACTCAGCCAACTTTATTTAGCAATTCACTTTTCAGTTTCAGTATTTTTGTACTTCTTATCAGCTTTGAGCTTTGATGCTCAGTATTTCTATGGAATAGCTGAGCATAGATGATAGAATAAACACGCATCGACTGCCTGGTCTCCTATTACAATCCAGAGGAAATTATGAATACAGCAAATCAATTGAAGATCAGAGACATTGACCATCTAGAGCCAACAATTGTCATTTCTAATAAGGTGTAAGATGGCATCAAGCGTGTGCATGTGACATAGATAGATGGGCTAGAAGCAAGAAGAACATAGAAGAGGATGGACCCTTGATATCAAGGGTGGACAGACATGGTGTTACATGGGACGTTGGGAACAGAGAGAAAATGAAACTAAAAAAGATCAAAACAACACCAGTGTGACAGTAAAAGTCTATGGGCCATAATGTTTATACTAATGCATTTTTCACATTTTCTACAGCAGAACAAGAAGGTTCTTATAGTTTTCCCGTTATATAAGGCTACATGTACCTGCAGTGTGCTTCAGTTCCCCATTGTTTGCAGCGTTGTTTCACAATTGCTCTCTGACCTTTTCTCTCTGCCCCCCCCCTCCCCCCTTCACTCATTAACGTAATCCGTCTTTCTCTCACTCAGTGGGTTGTCTGACTTCCCGTGGTTCCACTCTTAAAATATTAATTGCCAGGATGCTCCCTGGTGCAGCAACCCAAGGTGAATGGCAAGTCAACCCAGGTATAGACATTAATTAGGTTTAATTCATGTCACTGCAGCATTTCCACTGTCACAAACGTCTCGCCATTTTCATTCCTTATATTTCAAAGCAAATTAATTTTGTCAAATGTACTTGGAGCAAACATAACGAAACTACAACTAGGTTTCTCCGTCAAAGAGATAACTTTTCTAAGCAATAGTTTACACAACATTATAATATAACAGGTAATTACCGTTTCTTGTGTCTTCCTGTATTTTCTTAAATTTAAATCCATTTCCTGGATTTACTTAATTTCATATGAATTGATTTTCTGTATCAGTATGAATAATGATACAGCAATCCAAAAAACGCAGACATGTTTTAACCTACAGTATGATTTATTGTCGTCCCAGCAGCCTGTTTTTATTAAGATGTATGGCAAGCCAAAGTAAAAGCCACTTTTCCAGCGAAACTATGGAAGCATTTGTTTTCTTTGTTATTCACTCTCCTCTTGCTACTTGCATAATGTCTGGTTCTTTCCAATGCACAAGCAATACATAATGTGTCCCACAATTGTAGTGAAGTATTTCATAATTCTTTTAAATATTGAATGAAAAACTGACTATTCAGTAGTGAAGGTTATACATTTTTACAGCTGCACTTGCCAATATTTACACATCAACAATGGAACAAGTGCATATGTGTAATTTATTGCTCACAGTATCATCCCACAGATAATTATCTCCCAGTATTTTGGTGTCTTTTAGCTTTGTTTTGGTTTTTACGGTCGGCATTTTGAATGTTTTGGGTAACTCTCATTGCTCACAGGAATCAATGAGGTCAATCAGAGATGAAAACATTTCTTCTTGGAGGATAAATCTCTTAATTCTCCACAGGAGGGTTCACATTGTTCAGAGGTTTGGAGCAAATCTGTACTTGCAAGAGACTTATCTGTAACAATTAACTCCTAAAGTTTATACTGCCGTTTGAACATGTTACTGCAAGCATTTTGCTTGGCTTAGCCTGCCCTATTTACTTCAACTCAAATGGAATTTAAAAATAAAACAATGTATTTAAAGCTGCACTAATTAATATTTGTATTAAATGGATTTATGTAGTTTGAAGTGGGCATTACAAATGACAAACACCCTTGGGAGTTGTCACCAAACAGCAGCTTCAGCATTTAGCATTGTTTTGATTTGACTGCCCACAAACATAGATTTTAAGGTTCAATCTCAAAAATGTAAATTGAGATCCTACTTTACACTTCCTGCCCCGCAGCAAACAACAGACAGCAAAAGTTGAAAACTATTTGGGGATCATAGTGAAGCATTTTACAGCTCTAAAAACTAACATTTTCCTCAGGAGATGGTGGAGACCAAAACAGAGCTGAATGGAGGGTACATTTTTATTTTATTTTACTATGTGTAAACATATACGACTCCACGAGAGAAACTATTGGTGCTATGTCTGCTAAATGCTTGCTCACTGGTTTTCTAGTTTGATAATATGTCAGTGTTTTTAAAGCTTGTTGAAATACGTATCAAAGATTTTAACTAGACTAGGTCATTAAACACCAGACCTCTGTAAAGGGCCTCCATAAAACCCCTGTCACACTGTCCCGAAATTGACACCCGATGGACACACGATAAAGGAAATGTTCAAAATCGGC